GAGAGCGGGAACTCGGGACCCTCCCCCCCCCCACCCTGACACCCCAAAATGGGACCCGGGGACACCCCAAAAACCCCAAAGGGACCCCAAAAACCCCAAAGGGACCCCAAAGGGACCCCAAAGGGACCCCAAAAACCCCAAAGGGACCCCAAAAACCCCAGAGGGACCCCAAAAACCCCAATGGGGACTTGAGGACACACCTGGGACCCCAAAATCCCCAGAGGGACCCCAAAACCCGTGCGGGGTCCCCTGAGAGCCCCGAGTGGTGACCCCAGGGTGACCCCAACGTCCCCCATGTCCCCCTGTCCCAAATGTCCCCCTGTCCTTGATGTCCCTGAGGTGTCCCCAATGTCCCCTCGATGTCCCCAATGTCCCTGGGGCTGATCCTGAGGTGTCCCCAATGTCCCCAGTGTCCCTGAGGTGTCCCCAATGTCCCCCGGATGTCCCCAATGTCCCCTGGATGTCCCCAGTGATGTCCCCAATGTCCCCAGTGATGTCCCCAATGTCCCCAATGTCCCCGCAGACAGCAAGGCCATCGTGGACGGGAACCTGAAGCTGATCCTGGGGCTGATCTGGACGCTCATCCTGCACTATTCCATCTCCATGCCCATGTGGGACGAGGAGGATGAGGAGGAGGCCAAGCGCCAGACGCCGAAGCAGCGGCTGCTGGGCTGGATCCAGAACCGCCTGCCCCAGCTGCCCATCACCAACTTCAGCCGCGACTGGCAGAGCGGCCGCGCCCTCGGCGCGCTCGTGGACAGCTGTGCGCCAGGTTTGGACTGGGATGGACTGGGATGGACTGGGAGCACTGGGATGGGTTACTGGGAGCACTGGGAGCACTGGGATGGGCACTAGGGCAGAGCGGCCGCGCCCTCGGCGCGCTCGTGGACAGCTGTGCGCCAGGTTTGGACTGGGATGGACTGGGAGCACTGGGATGGGTTACTGGGAGCACTGGGATGGACTGGGATGGGGCACTGGGAGCACTGGGAGGGGCTGGGATGGGTTACTGGGAGCACTGGGAGCACTGGGATGGGCACTAGGGCAGAGCGGCCGCGCCCTTGGCGAGCTCACGGACAGCTGTGCGCCAGGTGGGTACTGGGATGGACTGGGAGCACTGGGAGGTAACTGGGAGGAAACTGGGGGGCCACTGGGAGGTAACTGCGGGGTCACTGGGAGGTTACTGGGAGTACTGGGAGGTAACTGCGGGGTCACTGGGAGGTTACTGGGAGTACTGGGAGGTAACTGGGAGCACTGGTGTCCCCACCTAGGGCTGTGTCCGGACTGGGACTCGTGGTCACTGGGGGGTCACTGGGAGGTTACTGGGAGCACTGGGAGGTAACTGGGAGGTAACTGGGGGGTCACTGGGAGGTAACTGGGAGCACTGGGAGGTCACTGGGAGGTAACTGGGAGCACTGGTGTCCCCAGGGCTGTGTCCGGACTGGGACTCGTGGGACCCGAGCCGGCCGGTGGAGAACGCGCGCGAGGCCATGCAGCAGGCGGACGAGTGGCTCGGGATCCCCCAGGTGAGCCTGGCCTGCGTCCTTCATCATCCTCATCATCCTCATCATCCTCATCATCCTCGTCATCCTCATCTTCATCGTCGTCATCATCTTCTTCATCATCCTCGTCTTCATCTTCATCATCGTCATCATCTTCATCATCGTCATCATCTTCATCATCGTCGTTTTCGTCTTCATCATCCTCATCATCCTCATCATCCTCATCATCCTCGTCATCCTCGTCTTCATCTTCATCGTCGTCATCATCTTCTTCATCATCCTCATCATCCTCATCATCCTCATCATCCTCGTCTTCATCTTCATCCTCGTCATCATCTTCTTCATCATCCTTGTCTTCATCTTCATCATCGTCTTCATCTTCATCATCGTCATCATCTTGTTCCTCATCCTCGTTTTCGTCTTCATTGTCCTCATCATCATCATCCCTGTGTCCTTCATCTTCATCTTCTTCATCATCATCGTCATCATCATCATTCTTGTGTCCTTCATCATCATCCTCATCATCATCTTCATCCTCTTTATCTTCATCATCCTCATCATCCTCATCATCCTCGTCTTCATCTTCATCATCTTCATCGTCATCATTTTCATTATCATCCCTGTGCCCATCATCGTCATCCTCATCTTCATCATCACTTACATCATCCTTATCTTCATCTTCATCATCCTCATGATCATCTTCATTTTCATCCTCATCGTCATCCTTATCTTCATCATTCTCATCCTCATCATCATCATCCCTGTGTCCTTCATCATCATCTTCATCATCATCCTCATTTTCATCATCCTCATCATCTTCATCCTCATCATCCTCATCTTCATCCCTGTGTCCTTCATCATCGTATTCATCGTCCGCATCATCTTCATCTTCATCCCTGTGTCCATCGTCATCGTCCTCATCTTCATTCTCATCTTCATCCCTGGCTTTGTGTCCTTCCTCATCATTATCTTCATCCTCATCTTCGTCATCCTCATCTTCGTCATCATCATCCTCATTTTCATCTTCATTATCCTCATTTTCATCATCATCTTCGTCATCCTCATCATCATCATCCTCATTTTCATCTTCATTGTCCTCATCTTCATCCTCATCTTCATCATCCTCATCATCATCATCCTCATTTTCATCTTCATTGTCCTCATCTTCATCCTCATCTTCATCATCCTCATCGTTTTCATTCTCATCTTTGTTTTCATCCCTGTGTCGTTTTTCATCATCAGTCTCATCCTCATCCTCCTCATCTTCATCCTCCTCATCCTCATCCCTGTCCTGTCCCCGTGTCCCGGTGCCAGCTCTCACCTGGGGGCGTCACAGACCCCTCCCCGTGTCACAGACCCCTCCCCAGGTGACCTGACCCCTCCTGACCCCTGTCCCCTCCCGTGCCCCCTCCCCAGGTGCTGCTGACCCCTCCCCATGTCCCCTGTCCTCAGGGGGGTGACACAGACCCCTCCCCAGGTGATCTGACCCGTGTCCCCCCCCAGGTGATCACCCCGTGTCCCTGTCCCCTGTCCCCTGGTGATCACCCCCTCCCCAGGTGATCACCCCCTCCCTAGGTGACCTGTCCCCTGTCCCCTGTCCCTAGGTGACCTGACCCCTCCCCAGGTGACCTGTCCCCTGTCCCCTGACCCCTCCCCAGGTGACCTGTCCCCTCCCCAGGTGACCTGTCCCCTGTCCCCAGGTGACCTGACCCCTGTCCCCTGTCCCCTGTCCCCAGGTGCCCTGTCCCCTGTCCCCAGGTGACCTGTCCCCTGTCCCCTGTCCCCAGGTGCCCTGACCCCTCCCCAGGTGACCTGTCCCCTGTCCCCAGGTGACCTGACCCCTGTCCCCTGTCCCCTGTCCCCTGACCCCTCCCCAGGTGCCCTGTCCCCTGTCCCCAGGTGACCTGTCCCCTGTCCCCTGACCCCTGTCCCCAGGTGATCACCCCCGAGGAGATCGTGGACCCCAACGTGGACGAGCACTCTGTCATGACGTACCTGTCGCAGTTCCCCAAGGCCAAGCTCAAACCCGGGGCCCCCCTGCGCCCCAAACTCAACCCCAAAAAGGCCCGGGCCTACGGGCCAGGTGAGGGGGGGTCCCCAAAACCCCCCGGGACCCCCAAAACCTCCCCAGGACCCCCAAAACCCCCCGGGACCCCCAAAACCTCCCCAGGACCCCCAAAACCCCCCGGGACCCCCAAAACCTCCCCAGGACCCCCAAAACCCCCCGGGACCCCCAAAACCTCCCCAGGACCCCCAAAACCCCCCGGGACCCCCAAAACCTCCCCAGGACCCCCAAAACCCCCCGGGACCCCCAAAACCTCCCCAGGACCCCCAAAACCCCCCGGGACCCCCAAAACCTCCCCAGGACCCCCAAAACCCCCCCGGGACCCCCGGGATTTGGGGAGGGGGATGGGAAATGGGACCCCAAATTCAACCCCAAAAAGGTTGAGGGCCTGTGGTGAGGGGAGGGGTCTCCAAAACCCCCTGAGACCCCCCGGGGTGGGGTCAGGATGGCTCTGGGACCCCCGGGGTGGCTCTGGGACCCCCGTTTTGAGTCTGGGGTCTCACAGAGTACCCAGA